TTTAGCCACATTACATTTGTACCTGACTTTCGGTCGCAGCTTTGGTGGTCTGTACGGCGGTTCCTCTTCACTCCTGTCCCACACAATCTCTCCATTACTGTCACTATCTGTTCCCGACAAGGGAGGGGTGTGGGGAGCGGGCGTCCTCTCCTTAACAGTGGGTTGTTGTGGAGGGCACTGTACTTCATAGCTAGCAGGTAAGCCCCGGGCAACTCTAAGAGCTTCTTTCTTCTTCGCGAGGTCTTCTAATCCACCCAAAGAAATCTGTAGAAGTAAGGAGACAGAGAGCGTTTCGAATGACTGTCGTATGACCAAACTAAAAGGAATCACATTAGCCCATCAGAACAAAGTGAAAGCTCAAGAACTTAGAAACGACTGGTAAAAATGGTGATGTGACTTTTCTTAATCTTAAAAAAATGACATCAGTTTGCAAGTTCTCCTTACTCTTATCAATACGTTTGTTATGGTACTCACAATAAGAATTTGTAAAACAATCCAGAGCCTCTGAGGTTTAATGTTTGACTCAGGGGCGATACTGTTGCAAGTACAGTTTTACAGCGACATTTTTATAATATTTTATAATATTTAGAATACTTGGACATGCAGTATGTTATCAACCGCCAAATATTTCAAGACAAAGGCTGATTACATTTCATTCAAGCCACATCGTAAAGTCTCTTGCCAACAGGTCCTCATTGGCACTGCAAAACGCGTGTTTCTCCGCTTTTGTGCCGAAGCGCTGATAATGTCATGGGGCTACATGACTCAGGATTTCGGGCGACATGACCGCTTAACTGCTCGCAGGCTACGAAAGTTCAAACACAACAACTCACCAGAATAGTTTTCCACAAAAGGAGAAGAATTTTTTTGATCGGAAAATGAGGGCAGCTACCGGCGCAGTACTTTAAAATCATTTCAAGTAAAAGGATAGGCAGTAGCTCATCGCCACCCAAAGGTTGACCTAAAAAAAAAAAAAAATTAAAGTGTTTAAAAAGTACGTGACGAGTACCACTAACACAGATTGTATTAGCTCGCTAACTTAGTAATGAATAAGGGGGGCATGTTTCTAGGGAAACTGTAGTGCTGCTTTGGTGGAGCTATTAAAAGATATGAATCTGTAATGATTCAATTTAGCACCCTCGTTCCAAAAAGCGCCCCCCTCGAATTCGTTTTGTTTAAAAAGTGCCCCTTTTCTACTAAGCGCCCCTATTGAGTAAGCACCCTCATTCCAATAGGCGCCTCTAGACCAATAAGGGCCCCTATTCCGTTTCAGTGATAACACTGTTAGAGTACATGTACATTGAGATCAACCTTGGTTCATCTTCCTTTCATAGCTCTCATTAAGCCTCGTGACAAAACTGTTCTCGTTGTCTCAGTCTCTTAACTATTATGTCCATGTGAGTGCACATTTCTTTCAGTTATTTTCAATCCTTTTCAAATAAACATCGAAGCTTTGTTACAAATTCTGCTGTTTCTCGAAGGAGAAATAAGCGCTTTACCCCTAATAAGCGTCGTGTTTCGAATAAGCGCCCTCCCTTGAGGTAACTGAAGTGAATAAGCGCCCCGGGCGCTAAAACGGATCATTCCTGTAAGTTAATAATGAAACTTGGCCACTATAGAGAGTTTCTAAAACTGACGTTCCTGGCGTTAGCCCTTCGTCAGAGAAGATGCACTCGAAATGCCTGACGCTCAATACACTAGCTTCAGAAAAGGTGGCCTATTTACATTATCAACTCAGTTGGTCAAACCAACTTGCCAAATGTTCAGCAGGGATAGAAGAAACCAGAAGGAGAGATGGGTTTACATACTCAGTTCGTTGAAAAATGCATTCTGTGCTTGAGCTAACTCAACTGATTCACTGGGATCTGCACATCGCATCACCTCAACTATGGTGTAGATGATGTTGAGATACACTCTAAATTAAAGAGAAAAGAAATAGTATTTACTGTGCATAATTGTAAATCCACAGTCACTGGTGAGTCATTTGGATAAATGCCCATATAATTCACCTCACCCTTTCACACCCAAGATCTCATTAGGGATTCTCCCTACAGTCTAATATACACTTCGTATGATGTTGGTTTGGAGAATAAGGTATTGGATCAACTAAAAATCTCTTAATTGATATTTTTCTTTATTCTCATCACTTGTTTGCTTGATATTGCTTTGATATTGTAAGGAGAAATTCTGTCTTGGTCACTCATGGGAGTTCAAGGGTTAATGAAGCAAAGTACTGGTATGTCTCCAATCTTAGATTGTAGACTTCAAGGTTCATTCTGGAGTATGCCTTTGCGGAATTTGCGCAATTCAAAATAAAATGCTGCATGAATCTCACTTCTAAAATGGTGCCCAAGGATAAGTACTACTTAACAAATAGATTCCAAGTTGCTGTGCATCTGTTCAGTGGCACTGATAATCTTACCACATTTTGATGTCCTCTGTGATCTATTACTGAACAGAAGCACGACAACTTGGAATCTATTTGTTTTATATAATAAAGAATTAAAATATACGGAAAAAATTTTTAATGATGACATCATCTATACGTCTGTCCTCCAATAGATCATAAGTGAGAACCAATCAGAATGCCTGCATAACTGAGCTTATTATATAATTTCAAATACAGTGTATAACAATCTTAGACCCTACCATGTACCCCATACATGGAAGAAAACTCCAACCAATTATCAGTGCATAAAAAAAGAAAAAACTCATTCATTATTAATTCACCTTAGCATTTCGCTATCAGCTATGGACACTGAAGGTTTATGTAAGGCTGATATTGCAGCATCAGCATTCCTGCAACAAAAGAGTGTGCTTTTTGAGTAATAGTGATAATAATAATGTAAATTATGCAAAAGATATTCCACCAAGGTGGCACTTCTTTTCCATTGTTTCCGGGTGAAATTGGAATTTGGAAAGTTGTTTTTTTCCTTGGAGCAAGGACAAGTACCAACAATAAACACCAGATCCAGGAATCAAACCTGGGCCACAGTGGTGGGAGGTGAGCACTCGCACCCCTGTCCCATCCATGCTCCCTCAGTAAAAAATTCTGGAATGACAAAATTGCTGCAGAACAGTGCTTTAGAGTAACCCTTCAGTAAAGTGCTTCGTATAAGGACTTACTACACCTCAAGGTACGATTATCAGAAATTGGATATCACCTATGGCGTCATATCAATATAACTTTCAAATTCACATGGAAAAGCTCTCTCTGGTTCAATTTTGTCGTTAAAACAGAAGCTTTTGGCTTTGAGTCCATATCCTTAAAAAGTTTTTAAGGCTTCCAAACAGAATATATTTTTAAATGCACAAACTTGTGTTATAAACCCTGTAAAACTCAATGAGAAGAAAAAGACTCACTCAATTTCCATGTTTAGAAGCTGGATGAGAAGTGGCATGATACCCATCTTGTACAACAGGAAGACATTATGCTGTGACTGCAAAAGTAAAAGACCCAAACAGCTCAAAAACCTCATGAAATGTTTATGTAGTAAAACATTAACCCTTTTAAACCCCAACAACAATATGCACATTCCTTCATATTTGTTTCACAATCAAAAGCTTCCTTAGTTGGTAATCATTTCCTTTATTCTCAAGACCACAAGACCTTCCTATGTGATTCAGGGGTTACATTGTAGGGAAAAATTAGAGGCTAATCACCCTAATGGGTTACAAGGTTGAGGTGTTGAGAAGGGGAGATCTACTTATACAAATTCTCTCATCTACCTTTAACCCTTCAACACCCAGATTAAATTTGTAATTCTCCTCTCTGTCAACCATACAATTCTTATAATGTTAGTCCAGAGAATTTAGTACTGGATCAACTAATTATCCTCAAATTGATATTTTTCTTTATTCTCATCTCTTACCTGGTTGATA